TATATCCGATCTCGTTCCCAAGAAGTTGCCTAGTCTGTAGCTCGTTTTTTTTTATTTTTTTTTTTTTCGAGCGCTATCTTTCGTCACCAGGAGCATTTAGCCCGACTCGTCCCCCCCCCCCTCAACCTTCTCTTCTTGGCTGATTTTTTGCCTCGGTTTCTCCGTGGGACGTATAGAGTTTCGATCCGTCAAATTTGGCCGACCTTGCTTTTACGCGCCTCCCGACGATCTTTCGCGTTTTGGAGGAAAAAAAAAAAAATTTGTAAAATGACATGTACGTCCAGCTTCTCTCTACTCGCGAAGGTCAAGATCGCGTTGTCCATCAACGCAAGTGTGACTACCTATTTCGATATTGGGCATTAAAAAAAAAAAAGAAACACAAGTTGCATCAGAGTCGGGAAAAACTTGCCCGTCCGTTTGTCATTTCGTAGGTAACCACGGGCTGTATATACATATATACTAATCGCATTGCGAATCCGCGCACAGACCGTCGAATCGAATTAAAGCACGATCCTATATATGTATACACATCTCGGAGAAACGTAGCGCTCAAAGGGAGGTTGCATCACGGCCGGGACCGGAGGAGATTTCGCAGTGAAAAAGCGCGAAAATTACAGATCCCCGCGCTTTCGGCGCTCACGTATACGTGGAAACTGGTAATCCCGGCCGATTCAATCCACGCGCGCGCGAACGTAATCCGTCCTCCCCCGGAAACCCGAATTAATTAAATTCCCACTCGCGGAGCGATCGGCCAATTACGACTGCCTTCCTTTCTTCGGCCACCCTCCGCTTGTATACACAATGTAATACATACAACTCTTTTTTCGGGTCTGCCTCTCTGTGTATGGGTACTGAAAATTAAATTTTCCAGAGGGGAAATACGAAAGCTGCGCCGAGAACTAGCCCACATTTTTATCCTCTGTCGTATACATATACATGTATATATATATATATATGTGTGTGTATGCAGACGATAAGTATTTGCATACAATACAATTTATGGTTGGGCTTTTGTTTCCTGACGCGCGGACCCTGAAAAGCTTTGTTCCCGCATATCGGGCCCATTACCAAGAGCTCGCTCTTCCAGGGAACAACTGCGACGCGTGCTGGTGTCCCTTGTAAATTTTTCATTTTTGTCCCTATACGTGTGTACACCACATCCAACCAAAATACACCGTGGAAAGATCGTCTACTGGTTTTCGTTTCTCTGAGAACAGATAGAAAAAGTTTCACTTTCGGTCCGACAATACCCACACGCGGAGGAGCAACAATCGCCAACTCCTCGAGAGCAATCGCGTAAAAAGGGATTACATCGCGCGCGGCTATAACGTATCGAATTCGTGACGCAGCACAGTCAGTGATACCTGCAGCTTGTGTGACATGTATATATATATAGATCCGTAGGGCTCAGCCCGTCTCTTTGAGGCTCAGCCCTTGGTTCTTCCCTCTCCCAGCTATCTGTCGGGGGGCCCCCCGAAAGGTGCAGAGAGAGAGCGGGCTCTTCTTCCCAATCATCCTCGCTATTCAGGCACCAGTGAGCGAAAAGAGAGAGAGAAAAAAGAAGTCTGTCCGTGTATCTGTCTCCCTCGGATTCGGGCGCTCCTCTTCTTCCGCGGAGCCCCTCGCTGCGCCCTCGGAGCCTAAAACCCGCTTAGATCCTCTCTCTCTCTCTCTCTCACAGAACTTGTTGCCCGCGTGTTCCCCTCTTACTATATCCTTTTCACCTTCTACACATAACTTGGGAGCCCCGAGTTCCCTGTACTAGGGTACCTTCTTTCTTTCACCGTTCATTTTCAAGGCGACGAAACCTTCTCAAAACATTTTTTTATACAAACGCGCTTCCCCCCCTCCCCTCCCCCCTCTACATCTGCAACAGTCCTTTGCGTTTTGAAAACTGTACAACACCCGTGAAATCCATCGCTAACCGAGGAGGTTAATGCCAGAGGGTTGTTTTTTTTTCTTTGTAAATTATGAGCATCAAATTTATAGTCGAATTAACCAAAAAGAAGAACATACATTCCGGGAAAACTGTGTATATACAGGTTGAGTAAGAACACCATCGTAAAGTCATTCCCAACGCCCATATGTGCAATAATCAAAAAGTTTAACATGGTGTCGCTATATATTATATGTATGTATATTTTGAATTTTACTGTAATTATGTAGAGCAGTGCGTGTATTAATGCGCGGCCACACAGGGCCCATCACAGGAGCCAAGCACGTATGCATGTATGATATAAAACAAGCGCCTTATAGCGGTCCTTTCACCTTTTCCCTTCACCGTCCGCACATTTGTCATTCCATTTAACCTCCACTGCTCTACGTATACACGACATACCTACAATGTGTATAATACAGTATATAGGTACATTATACACGTCTACCCGAGGGTTTTAGGACTCTCATGGGCTCGGAAGGGCTTTTACGTCCTTGGGCCTTCCTTATACCTCCGCCTCGGCCCCGAAGGTTCTCACCGACAGCTTTCCCGTGTGTCTGTGCGTGTTTCACCGATCCGCGTTCTCTTTCCGCAGCGTATAGTCAGTACCGCCTCTCTCACGATGGCATCTGCACACCGGGAGCATTACCAATGTCTGTCCAGCCAAATGATGAAAATATAGAAAACTTCAACCTGCAGTTCTCGTTGCGTCGGACGAGCCTTTAAACATCCCCGTGATTGTATGTACATGTGTGCTTTAAATGCCCAACGCATACCCGGCTGAACAAACATTAAAGGGGAACTTTTTTTTTTTTTTTTTTTTTTTTTTTTTTCTCTTTAAAACCCGGCGCGGTCGAAAAATCAATCGGCGCTATCGTCTTTAAACCGATGACGAATCAGCATCAGTCAGGGGAACTGCTATTGAAAAGCAAATCGGTGAATATAAGCAGCGATCGCAACGTTATAGGTAAAAAAAAAAAAAAAAAAAAAAAAAAAAGTGTTCCAATGCGCGTACATTGCAAGTAAGGGCAATATTATTTAAATGCTCGTGTTAAACCTCTGCAGCAGCAGCAGCAGCGATGGCTAATGGCTTGCCGTATATACGAGCGCGTGTGTGCTCGCGAGCGAGAGTAAAAAGGGAGAGAGCGGCAGACGGATCAAGGGGGGGTCCATCAAAAGCCCGCTCGTGTACGTGTGTGTACAGCAAAGGGTGGAAGCCCCCCCCCCCGTGTATGTGGGGTATAGACGGCAGGAGCGGAGCCACCCCAATGTGTATACGGTGTACGATTCGCCCCTGCCCTCTCGCGCGCGTAGCTTTCGGTCGTGCAGCGGCGGCGCTCCCCTTCGCCCTTCCCTGTGTGTATTACAGTTTACCTTATACCGTCGTCGACGTCCTCTGTTATACATATAAATATAGCGGCTCGGTATTTCATCGCCCGATGATCGCTCCGTGTGTGTGTGTTTATTACACGAATCCACTGTTAATCCAATGGCGTGCCCGCGCGGATGTTTTGCGAGCTCACGAAGCCGCGCATGTCCGTGGCTATCTTTCGGAGCTTTCTCACGCGCGCGTCCTGTTTTAATGGATGTATGTGTTTTTTTTTTCGTAAATGTGTATAGAAGCGGAACGAGAATCATCCATTGGAAATATATTGGGAGATGTGCGCGTTTGTCCCGCTATACGCGTGACCGAGCCGCTAAATGTGAGTTACCTTTGACCGAGTCGATATGGAGGGGGGGGGGGGGAAAGGGATTGGTATTTATTAACCCTGCTTTTTCGGACGATCGAGACGTGGAAAGTAATCGGTATATACTCGGAAAAATAAAAATATCGAGTAGTTTTAAGGGCCACCTCGCAGAGTAGCTGTGACTATGTGTACTGCACCCCTCGCACGTATGCACGTGACGGGGTGTGTTTTCTCTCCGTATACATATATATATTATACGCACACACACCCCGTGGAGAAACGCGCACCAGACTCTCTGATATATGCTGTCTCTGTACAGCTGTATATACATTTTAAAAATGTACTTCTCTCTCTCTCTCTCGCGCTCGATGGCGACAGATAGCGCCTCGAGAGGCAGTGACGTAGCCGAGGCTCCCTGTGCCTTGGACGGGACCGTTTTACGCGGAATCGGTATGATCCTATTCATATGAAGGCAGAAGTATTTTTAAAGTGACGATTTCAACTTCCCACATTTTTGATCCGATAGCATCGTTACTTTATTGGTTTGTTTTAAGAAACATATAGTTATTCATCTTTTTTCAAATCAAGAGAAGGATAAAAAAAAAAATAAATAAAGAAAAAAATCATGAAATGAGATTCGCAAAAAGGGCAAACAGGGGGTAAGTGCAGGCTATACAGGGGAGGGATCCCAGGGCTCGGGCTTCGTCCCTGCGCGGCGCGAGAGTACAGCGTTCGCCCCCCCCCCCCCTGTAGTGCGGTGCCCGACGACGTGCGCGAGTCGATGTTCCGCCGCGAGCCTCAGTCTCTGCTCGGCCGTCGGTGGGGCGGCGTCGCTGCTCGCTCAGGAAAAAAGGACCCTTCTCTCGCTCCTCCCTCTCACTCGCTCACGCGACACAATACACACACACACACACATTCATACATACATAAATATATATATATATACATTTGCATATATACATAGAGAGCGCAGAGAGCGCACGGATTGCGCAGCGAGCGAGCGGAAAAGAAGAGAGGGTGAGAGCGTTGCCGCAGTCGCGCGTCGCCGCCTACGGAGCAGTTTCTGTGTCGATACATATACTTATAAGTACTTGTACCTATCTCAATAATCAACCTACGCTCCACCTCGGCGCACCGTTCGGGGCTTTGTACACGCGCCCGTCTCGCATTATTTTCGTTATCGTTTTGGGGGGGGAGGTGGGCAACAAGTATATTTACACCCGATAAGATAAGATAGAGTGGTGTACAATTGTAATCAAGTGATGTCGTATATGTAGTGTCGGTACATTGGTGATCATAACCAGTGGGGGGGGGTAGTGGTGTTCGGGTAGCGGGTTGGTGCAACGGGGGTTGGTTAACGGCTGAGCTTCCAAGACGGCAGGCCTCGAGGGCCGAGCGAGACGGAGCAGCGCCCGGGCAGGGCCAGGCTCGTCAGCCGAGTGCGCTGCGGTAGGTGGCTGCTGTGGCTGCTGTCCTACGACGACGAGCAGCGGAGATAATAGTAGTACAACGAGTGCGGGTGCTGTTGGTGATTGTACCAGTAGTATTAGTAGTAGTAGTAGTGGTGAAGGTGGTCGTGCAATAGTAGGAGCCGCCGCCTCCCGGGGCCGCCGCGGTTCAGCCGTCGGCGACGGGCCCAGTGCCAAGATTGCGGCCAAACGCCAGTGTTGTGTGCGCAAGTGCAATAATACGATACTACGGAGGAAACAGGCAAACAAGGCTAACAAACAACTACAAACCGGCACAGCGAACAACAAGTTGAAAAAGAGCAGCAGTGCAGCGCTGCTCGCGGGACTCGTTGTACGCGAGATGGATTGGTCGGTCAAGGCGCGCCGAACGTAAGTACTTTGGCTTCTTGCTCGTTTTCACGCGCCCGTTAAGGAGAAAAAACAAAAAGCCAAACGCGCGTATAAGTATATAAGTACCAATACCCCGCGTGTATTACATTATAAAAATTCAGTCCCTCCCCGTTTGCAGCCCCACTGTTATATGTGCGGTTGACTCAGCACCCGCCATATATATATATATATATCGCGTCCGTCCGATCGTCGATCCATGATGTGTTGTTCCTATGAATTGTATATATATATATTATGTGCATAACATAAATATTGTGGCTGCAGCGCGAATAAGCCATTCATGATTCATGTGTATGTATTTAATATTATGCGTGTTGTGCATGTAGCAGCTGTATCGGAAAGATCGTTACTTTATTCGCACTCTGTTTTTCGTTTGCACGTATCAGCTGAAACATATAAATATAAATGCACCGATGGATAGGTGTTGTGGTTTGCGAAAATTTAACTCATCAGGCGAAAAACGCAGTTGGATAGTTTTCGGTAAAGTGTGTGATTAAATGCTCAAAAGTGGTACAATAATGATGACGATGACGATGACGAAGATTGCCGTTCGCAAGCTTTCGCCGATTCTCGACTCGTGTATGCAATATAGATCGCATTAAAAAACCGGTATAGCAAAATGATGAAAAAAAAAAAAAAAAAAGGCCTTGTACAAAAACCCTCTTGGTATGCTTTTCGCAGGAAAAAATGCGCCGAGACAGCCAGCATCGATTTTTATGCTCGCGACGGCAGTCTGGAAATCCCGGCGGACGGATACGGCTTGGCGATGAAAGAGAGCGAAGCGAGTTGCATTCAAAGGAGGTAAAGTCTTCTTCTTCATCATCGTCGCTCGATACCTGATCTCTCTCTCTCTCTTCTTTTCTCTTTTTTTTCTCTCTCTCTCTCTCACTTTCCACACATTATTTTTATTCTTATTATTTCTCGTAACCCAAGTGGCCAATTTGCCCCTTGTTCGCTTGTAATGAGTACCTATATACTCACACTTGTCTTACCGATCGATCGACCGATCGCAACACTCGAGTCGCCAGGGTCAGCCGAGAGAGCACACCGTGTCCGCTGCACAAACACACATAAATATACGGTATTTACAAGCTCGGCGTATTGTCAGGACGCAAGTATAAGGTACATGCGTTATATAGTTATAATGCACGTATAATATTATAATACATGCATCAGGGTGCATTGCAGGGAGTAGCCTTGCGCATGATCGTTGCGCGCATACACCCTCGACATGCACGGGGGAGCATGCCATGGAGTGTAATACGTACCTATATATCCCATACCTAGAGGGCCAGGGCCTTATATACCTATATACACATATATACGTAGTCTTGCGCGTATACCGTGTGTTACGTGAGCATATACTTACCTACATGGGAGCGATATCCGCGCGTGCACGGCAGCATGGAACGGATGTACCTATACGCCGAGCACTCGCTTCCGGCTGCACTCGCGGGCTTTCCGCGAGCTACCTCCGTATACATCGACAAAGTCTGCAATTTTTTTTTTTTTTTTTTCCCCTCTTCATGCGGGTATAAATATTATATGTACTTACTTACGCATCGCGCACATCCTGTTCTCATCGTCTTAGGTGTATCCTACAATAATATATATATACATTAAAAGGCTCGAGACGCCACCACCCCTTGGAAAGTTTTATCATACGTCGAGGATCGAAAGTTAGGTCACGATAGCACTCGGTAGCAAAGTTGTCCAAATTGCTTACGTAAGCATATATGTATATACGTAGGGCGAACCTCGTCCTGATCCAGCTAACTAGCAGTGCTTCCGCGATCGCGAATCGAATCGGTATTACAGAGAGACATTTAAATCCCTCGCCGAGTGTATCCGGGGGGGGGGGTTCGATCGATCGGCCAGGCCGCAAGTTCGTATCCGAAAGTGCAAGGGGGCGGTCTTCCTTTGATGCGCGAAATTAAACAGCTTATCGTCGGGACGGGCGAACTAAAGGGAAAACGTGATGGTGATCCGTATCTATACCGCAGGTTGCACACACGTGCTTACCTATGGTTATACAGCATCGGCGATGGTGAACGCGTCTCGTGGGAAAAATTCACGCGCTCAGCTCCTGATGGCTCCCGCTCATTCAGGCCGAACGTAAAAATTAACGCTACTATGTTTGTACATTCGCGGAGATGCGAAATTGTGACCTATTATTATATGTGTTGCATCGGAGTAAAAGAAAAACACCCGACTCGACTTTTTAGTTTTTTTTGTTTTACCTACAATCCGTATACCCATGATGTTATTTACCCCCTTGTATGCTCTCCTGCAACCGTAAGCGTGGCGTAATGAAACGAGTGTTCTCTCGTGCTATGGGTACTTATACACCTTCCTATACCTTGCAAAGCACCTTTCTTCCTGATGCTATTCATCGCCAGACAGCACTAAAGTTCTCTCCTTTCGTCGGGCTTTTCATGTATTTTTACAAAGTTCCCTTTGAACAAAAATTAGCAAGAATATAATATATACACGAGACGTCGTCGAGACCTTCATTTCAGTGACGGCACGAGTGTGGGGTTGAACGGGGGGAGTGGGGTGTGCACTGTCAGCAGAGAGGCGCGTTTCGACGCGATAAGGCAAAGACTCGATTAATCTCACTTTCCGCTTTGGGCTCGGCGCAGAGACGAAAGGAGCAATCACCGGTACAACGGCGTGACTTTTATTTTCGTGCAAGTAACGCGTAAGCTTCGCCCTTGCCGGTACTATAGACGTGTCCTGTTTTCCACTTCTTTTGACAAAACCCATGCAATGTACGCCAAGATGTTGGTTGTGTCGGATGATTACAGAGAGAAAACTAGCTTTGAGTGATATCTACAGCTTTTTTTTTTTTTTTTTTTTTTTTTGTATGGAAACGGGGTCGAAAACATTTTTACCTCGATTTTTACGATGGTTATACCCGTACGCGCGTTAAGATAGCGGCGGTACACGCGCGCATCTGAACGACTTTTCCTCGATATCGACGACGCTCCGCAAAATTCTGCTGATAAAGTGTAAACAGTGTAACTATATACTCTAATGTAGGATGTACTCGAAAAACAAATTGTTATTGTTGATGATTACGTACTTCCAGACAACAAAAGACGTGTCCTTAGAAAAATGAAGCGTCGGGAAATAATCAGTATACACTGTAACAACTCGAATTATCAATTTTACTGATTAAAATACCTCGTGAAGGTATAACACTATTCGTCATACGTCGCAATCGAGGTTGCGGGGAAAACGAGGTTCCTCGCGATATAGTTTTTATCTTATTGACAAACACGAATAGCTTTATTTATACAGTTTAGATATAAATTATCGTTCCTCGCAACACGCTTATACGAGTATTATATACGTGTTCAAGCTTTTAGTAGAGTAACCCTAATTCAACAACCTTATCAAGTATACGTGCCTACACAATTCTTGGTATTTATTACCGTGAACTCAGGATACTTGTATATTTCATGACGTTCGCTTGAATATACATTGTAAACATTAAAACTCGGGGAAAAAGAGATGTAGACGCGCACTTTTGCATGAGAGAAAAGCCTAATGTATAGTTTTTCCCATCGACTCCTACATATTGAACAGCGAATCGATTCCCGATTTAAAAAAAAAAAAAAAAACTACATTCACGGGCTCACCAACGCATCGAAGCACAGATGAATCTGCAAACGATGGGAGGGGAGCCGGACACACTACACACGGTTGTCACACTTGATTGAAATAGCAAAGGGCGGCAAAGCATATAACAACACTATTATGTGTACAGGCGTATCCTAAACCTATAAGGTATACGATAGCGTCGAGAGAGAGAGAGAGAGAGAGAGAGTTATGCGAGCGTGCAGTGCAGCGAGCGTCTGATGGTGCTAGGGTGTAACGACCTCGAGGCTCGCTCGTACACACGGGTATATTATATAGAAGAAGCAAAGTGCAGTGGCGTGTCAATGAAATAATGCATATACGCATGCTACGTGCTTGCGCTTGAGTAGCAGAGCTTGAACGCGCGATCCTCCCGAAGAAGACGGCCAAAGCTCTTCTCCTAGCTCCTCTATCTTGTATAGTCCTGCACAAAGTAGGAACGTACAAGCCAGCGACCGTGACCGGAAGCCGGAACTCTCCTTCCTTGAGAATCGCCCCCCCCCCCCCGCGAGAGCTCCGAGTCTTTTCCTTTATTGTTAATTTTGAATCCACGTGAACGTGTTTTTTAACGCCGAGTTGGCGCGTGTTTTGAAAAGCCCGGCTCGTTGCACGGGCGTCAATAAGAGAAACATCGATTAGATATAATACGTAATTGTACGATACTCGCGCGCGCGTGCGAGCGATAATATATCATCCATCAGCGGGTGACTAAGCCGTGAAAACAATAAATGTGTATTATATATTTTTCCGTATTTTTCGATGTGCCCATATACATATTGTACCGATGGCTGATGCGTATACTTGTATTTTTTTTTTACTATATCGGACGGCTCGGCTGTCACGTTTCGCTGATAACTCTCAACTGGAGCCTGGTTATCAAATTTTGTGTTTCCCAAAGCCTATTTGAGTGATTCCCCACCGGTGATATACTGCGCAATGTAGGGTATCGCTGTATACATTCTCCTTTTTTTCGACGGTGTCGCGAGGCAACGCCAAATCCCAAGAAGCAAAAGGATTTCCAATATATATATGTATATACACATTAATGGAATCGTCCTCGAAAGTTTCCCCGAATAGTCCCTCCTTCCGACCCGCTCAGGGAGAATATAATATAGTAGTTCTCGTATTAGCGGATACGTGAGAACAACGAGGCTGTAACATCGAGTCTGGAGCGCTATCGGGGAAAAGGAGTAGGTGAGGAGGAGATGAGGGAAGTAAAAAAAAAAAGGTGGAGTGTGATCGAGAAGCAGAAACTCGTCGTTGCTTTTCCCATCAGAAGTGCACGCGAAGGTCCACTCTAGCCTGGCCAGAGAGAAGGGGGGGGGTATAAGGGGGCAAAAAGTGACCCTTGCGGCGGACTGCGCCTTTGTAGGAGCCATAATATGTATATATACTGTATTGTAGCAGTGCAGGAGAACGAGAGAAGCAAAGACCTCCTCGTCGGCTGCAACAGCCCGAGCGGTGCACAACTGGTTTTCTCGAGGGCCGTTCGCTTCGAAATTCCAGACAAAGTACCGGGGGCAGGATGTACACGTGTGTGTGTGCGTCGGCTAAACGAGCGGGGCCTATACTCCTGCACCTCCCTGCCCCACCGTCGTCGTCGTCTCCTCTTCTCTCCTCTTTTTCTTCTCGCCCTATCTCGTCCCCATCGTGTCTTATTCGTCTTTTCTTTCCGGCTGCCTCCCTTTCACTCCGCGCTCTCCGATCCTATATCCTCGTACACCACCACCACCACACCTCCCGGTGGCGGATACTCCCTTCCTCTTCTACCGGCCGATCACAGTAGTACGGCCAGAGGCGTGTGATTTTTCATTTCTCGATGTGAGCAGAAGGCACATCCTCGCGTTGCCGACTCGATCGCCCTGCGTATATCCACTTCGCCTCATCGGCCGCGGGGCGACCGCAAGGGACTCGGGTGTATTTGACTCTCTCCCCGCGGGAGCTTACACTGCTGCGTTTCTCACACAACAGCTGCTGCAGTATAATATTGTACTCTCTCTTTGCTTCTTGTGTTTTATATTCATCCTCGTCTTTTTTTCCTTCGGAGCTTGCAGAGTCGACTCGACGAGCTTTGGAGTTGACGTATTCGTTTCCAATCCACATTACCCTCTATATATACCCATCAACCAAAGGGAGCCTTGAATTTTAAAACCATAGAG